CTTAATGTGCGACCTGTCAAGGCTGTCAGGAGATGATGAGATATCACCCGCATACCTCAAAGCGTTCATGGAGAAGTTGCCCAAGATGTTTAAGGAGGAGGAACTGGGCGTTGAATCTGGTTGAAGCTCGTCAACCCGGCTTTGTTTACTTTTGCGGCGTATCGATTCGCCGCGTCCAAAGCCGGGAATTCCGGCGCCAACGTTGAGTGAATGGTACTAATGTTTACTAATCTCCAAAGCTTGTCCAAAGCCACAGCATCGGCGAATCGATTTCTGCTTTCTTTTTGCAAAATGAAAAATGCGAAATGCCAATGTTTTTTTAAATAATCTAACTGGTAATACATTCAGAATTTTCATAACCTAGGATGATATTATAGTTCGTTTTTTTTTCAAAAGGACTCTGGCTCCAAGTATGTTTTTCGAAAAAGCACGCGTTTTAGTGAGCAAAACGAGCAAAAACTGAACCTGAGAAACTCGAACGTCGCCTTATTTTAACATGTGAAGTATTCCCGATGATTTCCATACGTGCGTTTTGGAGCCAGGTATGAGAACAGTGGTGACGTCATGCCGTCGAACTTGTATTGCAATGTAACGTATAACTATCATGGACGAAACCGCTTACTCGATTATAACCTCGGCAACAGTGAAAAACGAAGTTTCCCCCAAATTCGTCAAAACTTTGTCCCATCGTACGGACATTGGGTGCCTGCTGCCACCAGTGACGTCATCATAGTATGCTAATTTTTCAGGACACAATTTCCGGGTACTTACCGTGCACAATTTGAAATCGGATATTTTTTCGGTAAGAAATTCTTGGCCAGACGTTGAAGCTGCCAAAACTCACGTGAGAGCTTCGGTAATGCACTTTGAGCCAGCGTCCTTTTGAAAAAAAAAAACGAACTATATTATGTTGATATTCGGCAAAATCGTAAATTAACTTTTGATTTGAAGTTTCGTAGAGAAGCTCCGATTTCACGCGATTCAAATATAGTGACAGTTGAGGAATCTGGTGGGTTTTAACGTAGAAATAGTACAAAAAGTAGGTGAAATCCCAATTTCAACATTAAATTACTCGTGACTCAGACCGAATTTCGAAAATCTGATTTCAGTTTCGTAAAGTGGAGTGCTGATTCTACCAAATATCAAATTTTGTATTTTAGCTGACAATTTACCTTTAAAACCCTCGCCCGCACATGCCATTTTCCCATCCTAGAACGCACATGGGGGGGGGGGGGTTGCCACCCCCCGCGCCATTTCGTTTCTGTTGGAGATAGAGCTTAGCGGTAAAGACCAAAAAGATTCTTTGGGAAGAGACAAATCCAATGATACCCAGTTTTACCTTCTCAGGTCAGTCATTGACCTTCCAGGTCAGGTCAAACTAAAAAATGTTGCTGTTTTGGGTCACCGTTGGATATCAAGTGCGCTGCTTATCAAATACCGATGACGATGCTGTTTTCTGGTGCCAAGCCAGCTAGAACCTCTTTGTCACACTACCCGACCAGAATTTTGCTGATGAGGTCATTTCAGGTCAAGTTAGGTCAAGGTCAATAATATGTGTTTGTATGTCTGTGTGTATCTGTGTGTATACTGATGTGTGCACCGATTGTTTTTGGGTCCATATTACATGAAATCATGATCTGAGAAGCTTTTACCAAAAATGCAGTCAAAAAAATTCACAAAAAGTAAATTCAGCTTGCCTAAAACGCAATTATCTTAGATGACCTAGGTTGACCTTGACCCTGACCTTGACCCCTGTACATCGTCGAACAACATGCTCCATGATAGGTGGGAGGTAAGACTGGCAAGAAAGGCCGAAATCAGGGTGTCAAAAGCTCACAAGGCCCATGGCAAACGCAAGATGTTGAGAATTGGCCATTTGGGTCATGACATGACCTGAAAAACAAGGTCATATCTCCGAAACCAAAAATCACAGAAACTTCAAATTTTCAGTGGACATCAAGAAAGGATAGAGGAGCAGCTATACGAAAAATCAGCCCTCTAGCTCTAAAAATGTTGAGTGCAGAGCAGAAAGACTACCTGGGGGGGGGCACCCCCCCCCCATGTGCGGGCGAGGGTTAACGCATATTGCATTAAACAGAAGTGGAAGTTGCGTTAGAAAAAGTGACGGCTGTTAAGCTGCCGCCGGTGTTGGGTACCGCTACAGGGGGGACTGATCGTAGTATCGATGACCTTGCTGTTGGCGTGCGACAGATTGGCTTGGAATCCGTTTGTACGCTCGACAATGCTGCTTCCTGTACAATATACAGTCATTGAGTCTGGTCAATGTTTGCTCCTGCGGTATGCAAATGTCTGCTCCTGTGGGAGATTCCCGCATGGGATATTTTGCCCGTCCAGCCCGGAGCAGGGATTTGAGGCGTGGAGAAAGACTTGACTCTCCAATGGATGGAAACTACGGAACAGATCATCGGTTTTCTATTACCTCCCAGCACAAGTACTGATGCTGGAAAGCTTTCCCCAGCCATCAACCGGGTCACGGTTCCCGGCTTCGACGCATCAGACACATTGTTAAACGGGTGAATCGGCTCTCATTCATCGGGGGACCGGAGGGCTTCCCTCAAGTTTGAAATCGATTTTATTGTGCAGACATGTGCAAAAAACGTGCCTGAACACGATTCCGTCAATGAATTAAGCTAAGGTAGTGCCATTTTCCTACAATTCCAGCCCGAAAACATCCCGAGCGCCATTGGATTAACATTTTGTAAGTAACTGATGCCCTTCACCGCTAGAGGCACTAGCGTCGCCGGCCGGGAACGCCGGCAAGGCACCACGTGGAGCGGAATGGCTGGTCTAATCCTATTGAGGTCAATGCCCCTGTACTCTGTAGGTTAGATTGTAGGTTGCAGCCTGTAGGTGTTAGGTTTTAGGTGGTACCTAAGTTTAAGGTTATAAGATTGTAGGCTGTAGGTTTCAGGTTTCATGTTTAAGATACCTAAGGTTAGGCCAGGGTTGGTTTAGTTTGATTAGAAAGCATCTCAGGGTATAGCTCCTCTCCTTGGTTGCAAAAAAAAACAAGTCTGAAGCCTGTTTTATGACTCCTGCTCTATCATAGAAGGGTAAAAAAGCCTCTGAACTTACCTGGAAAGTGATGCAAGTTGCTTTCTCTGCACCTGGATGGTAGCTAGAGCCAAATCTCATGTTGGTTATCTCATGCAGCGTCTTCTTGCATCCCTTCTTAGCAGATACCACTGCAAAAAAGGCAAAAGTTATTGAGCAAGTATGTCATGCAAATAACAATACATGTACAAACACAACAAAAAGGCTTCAAATGCCTAAATAGCGCTATAACAAACTTATCTCAGTCAACCAATTCAAGACCAGGCTGGATGCCCACTGGGCTGACATCATGCAAAGCCTTCCCACCTGAACCCGATCTTACCCAACCTGAGGCTGACTGTCCATAAGCACTGGGAGCTAGCTGAGACCTCATTTTGCTGAGATTCCTGCGATTGAGATTGAGAGACATAGCTGAGATTTGACCTCACAGGCCAAATTGGCCTCCCACAACCCATATACCGTTAGGTAAGGTAAGGAAGAGCACCTCAATAGCTCAGACTTGAGCCGATTACACTATATCTCGGCACACTGCTATAGACCAGCCAGCAGGTTCCCATGTAAAGGTCTGGAGGAAACTCCCTAGCATTTCAAGAAACAACACGCAGAGTATGGACGCATTTACATGATACCGATTACCAATAAAGGTATAAGTAAGCCTGGAGTCCCAGGAAGATGTCAGATACAGTTGTAGGTTGTACATTTGTAGGTTTGTAGGGTAGGTTGTAGGTTTGTAGGTTATAGGTAAGGTTAGGTCAGGTCAGGTTTGTTTTGGCCTATATATCTTCGTCGTCCCTATCTGGCATCTTCCGAAGACGCTAGTACGCTAGTACGCTAATACCCCAATAAATGTAGGACTCACAATAGCCACCTTGTTTGGGCGCTGCGGTAATGCTAATTCGTTTACCCAGGCCCATGTCACTCCACTTTTGATGACATCATAAGGGGGTCTCAGGACAATTAATGGCGCGGTGCGCCACAATCGCTCCCAAGCTACTTGCCAACAGCTGCCATTTTTTAAAATATTATTTTGAAATAAAGTTTCAAGTAATTAAAATATTGTAATAAAGTTGTACCTTAAATCTATACCATATCTAAAAACTTACTGAAAAATGATTTATCTATAGTAAAAATATGAGCTCGACGCGTTTTTACGTTGCTTTCCTGCTGCTGCAGAGGGTTTTTAAATCGTCTATATCTTCAAAACCGGCCATTTCTTAGCATATTGCTGCTCTTTTTTGTCGCTGGAGAATAAGTTGGGCTTTCCATTGACATCAACGGCTGAGCGGTATGTGTAGAGTGCCATCAATATTCTTCAAATGAAGTTCGTCATTTTTACGTTGCAAATGAATGGAGTACCCCTTGCGAGCATCAGGGGTGACGTCACTCAGGATCTGTCTCTGATTGGTCGGCGGGGGAGTGACTGTACCTTCTATAGATGGCCTTGCGTTTACCAAGCACGCAGGCATGACAATTTCAATTTAACCCCCCATTTCAACCTTGGGGCACAATACATTCCGCAAACGCGCCTACATCGCCACGTTTGACACACACGTGTCGACACGCGCGATAACAAAATATGGCGCACATGGCCCATGGTGCACCTGGCGAAAATTGGACGCAACTTCAGCTTCAATTCTGCTTACTAGGTGGCACTACTTTATCTGGATTTCGTCCTCTACGTCCTCTACACGAAAAGGAAAAGATAAATAAAATGCTTTCAAACGAACAATTTTTCTTTTTGGTGATTGCGCTACAATCTTTAAACAGAAAATATTTTCTCAGGCCACACGGCTCAGAATAAGCATCAGACAAGAAGAGAGGAAGGCAAGCGAAAATACTTTTATAGCACCTGAGGAGAGACGTAAATGACGCACAAGCGACTTTTGAGGCGCAGGAAGTGCTCGAGCCCAAAGCATCGCCACCAGAGGCCGGAGACAGTCGCCAGCTGTGTTCGTTGGAGTGTGGTTGCTGTACGACGTGCTCCTCTCGGCCACGATCTTCACGTTTGATAGAAGATTCCATCACTTCAGTGGCTGCAACAGCCACAGCTAACGAGTGACTCTCCCCAAGCATTAGCTTTTGTCAAGCCGCACAATGCGCGAGTTCAAGGTTGTAGTGCTTGGCTCGGGCGGAGTGGGAAAAAGCGCCCTCACAGTTCAGTTCGTCTCCGGTCACTTCATGGAGAAATATGATCCTACTGTCGAGGACTTCTATCGCAAAGAAATTGAGGTAGATGGGTCACCATGTGTCCTGGAAATTCTGGATACAGCTGGCACAGAACAGTTTGCCAGCATGCGAGACCTCTACATCAAGAATGGCCAAGGCTTCCTGGTGGTGTACAGCCTCACAAATCACCAAACATTCCAAGATATCAAGAACATGAAGGAGCAGATTTCCAGAGTAAAGGGCTCAGACAGAGTTCCAATTATGCTGGTCGGAAACAAGGTTGATCTGGAGAATCAGCGGGAGGTGTCAACAGTGGAGGGAATGGCTCTGGCACAGATGTGGGGCAGCCCATTCCTGGAGACCAGTGCCAAAGTCAAGACCAACGTCAACCCAGTCTTCTCCGAGATCGTCCGGGAGATGAACGACAGCCCTGAAGTGGAAAAGGGATCATACTGCTGTACAATCCTATAGCGTTGCGTGCAATGCTACTCTAGCAAGAGTGGATGAGGATTCTTCTTATTTAATGTGCTAAAGGTAAGTGTTTGCATTTTTCTCTTCTGGTTGTGTGAACTCTATGCAGTCTAACATCTTTTTCCTTGTCTTCTGTCTTGTCTTGCTAAATATGATATCCCCTAATCTATTGATTTGTAGTATAACAATGGTAGCGCTTAATATTATTGATTTTTCAATCCTCCAAATTCTTTTAAAAAGTCATGAATTTCACTATGAGTGCATTGTACTTTAAAACTTTAAACAGTGAGCAATGTGAACAGCCAACAGAGCTATAAGCTTCATTGGTTAATGCATTCTCAAGTAGCTTCTTTGTTAGCCTCCTGATTCATTTGGGATGAGAACACATTAGTCTTTATTCAGCCAAGGTGTCACAAGATTGTGTAAAGGTTTTCAGTTGCCTGACCAGCTGTGAGCCCCTGCAGATGGGGTCTAATTGTTAAAAGTCATTTGGAGTGGTCAAGATGCCATCGCCCGTCAGTCCAGTAGGTATTGAGATCCACTTCCCAGCACAGTCGCCAGTTAGACGGAGCTCGGGTGGCGCACCGGTCGCATGGGCCAGTTTCTGGGCTCTGACCTGTGGCCGACCCTCCATGTCTGCTGGAGACGGTGCACACCAGCCAGAGGTCACGTTCGGTTCACGGACCCGGTGTTCGCCGTCACGTGGCTCGCTGCCAGGCATCACATTCTCCGGGGACGTACCGTGAGGCGTCCTTTCCGCTGGCGTAGAATGTTGGCGTTGTAGTTCACGAGAAGCGTTTCATAGGGCAGCTTTGTGAGCTCATGTTTGGGACAAACGGATGCCCGACATTCGTCAGTCTGTTCATTGTGTCGTGACGGCCGGCGAGTCAGCCGTCGTCGGTGGGCCCTCGAGGTACGCTCCAGCTGGCCGCGTGCCCGATGTTCGCCGGATGCGCCCCTCCGCCAGTCGCCCATGGCCACCGACCGGTCCAACCAGGGGCGTAGTTTTATGTATGAATGTGCGGATGGGAGCCCCCCTTAGACCTTAGCTGGTGTTTTTTTTTTGGGGGGGGGGGAGGTTGCTTTTTGCGGGAAGGGGATGGGTGGATATGCATTCTGTATTACCTATTGGCACGTGGATTTGTCTTCCTGTCTTTTGATTAACATTTTCCTTGGGGGGAAAGCTCAGTCATAACTTATTTCGCGACAGTAGGTTAGCTGGCAGGACACTGCCGACACCTCTGCATCAGCAACGGTCAAGCTCTGTTATCTGTATCCTCCCCGGGCCCTTGCCTTTCCCCTCCATGCTTACAGAGCTGTGCTGTTTTGCCTCCATCAGACTCTGTGTATAAGGTTTATCAGGACAGAGAAGCGTGGCACCCGCGCCGCCATCCGGTGCCGCCGATACGGGCTCTGATCTCTGACCCTGCCACCGGGTGCTCGCGTCCTCACTGGCTATCGCCACGGTGTGACCGGCGTGTTTAAAGCGTGATTCACATCGCCAAGGGTCTCTACCGGCGGCGCCTGCGGGTGTCACGATAATTGGTCTGTTATTCCATGACGTTGAAGCGAGGCGTCCATGGCGGGTGTTCAAAGACATTCCGATACAGCAGTCGTCGTGATTATCGCCAGGTTTCACGAAATAATTCATGACCAATAAGCCTAGCATTCCGTGCAGTCGATCTACATGCATGCGGCGAAAGGCAGGACCGAGAAAGTTTGCCCGTGGCGAGATGTGAACTTGGTTAGTGCGGTGGTCTGTTTTATTACAGAGCGCCGTTTTCTGCTGGGATCGGCTCGGATTTATGACATCGTGCGCCGGTCGCGCGGCCACCCCCTGTGGCGAGAAAGCTAACGTGCGCGACCCGACGCCTTGAGAAAGGCAGGTGTCTTCGGTCAACGGTCATCTGATAACGCCATCCACTCGCCAGAGAACCATCAGTGTCGTGAGCCATGCAGACATGAGGAGAGCTGCGAACACATGAGCTCATCAGTCATCAGGGTGCGGGTCACTGTTGCGACAGAGCTTGTGTGATCTTGAGGATGAAGGCGTAAGTGGTTGTCAGGGTGCACTTGCGAGCTTTGTCACGACATTGTAACTCGTAATACCTGGCTTTGATGTGCGCCGGTGTTGCCGGCACCTGACTGATTCTACGAGCTCTGTATGAGCGCCATTTGTAAGGCTGTTCTGGTGCTTCTCAGAAAAGGCGGCGGCAGATTAGGCGGAAATTTGCGGTTAAGCGCAAAGTGGCTGCAACCTTGGCACACCCCTTGGTTCCGAGCGCCGATCCAACAGGACCTAGCTTACTGAGTCTTTGCAGTAAAAGTGATTCAAACAGTGACCCATTAAAATCAAAAATGTTCCTAAGTTTCAATATACAGCAATCGTTGCTGAAAAAGTCCATGCTCCCTTTGTCAACACGGATTGGGACCTACGGGCGCCCGCCGATAGCGCTGTTCACCATCCCGCCGACTGCACTCGTCTGATGGGTGACGTCACCAGTTCGGCCTCAGTGACGTCACCAGTCCGGCCAGGCGGCGGCGGCCATTGCGCAAGTGCAGCGGTGCGGCGGCGCGTGTGGCTCCAACACTGGGTCAGAGCAGCGACACAGACGGGGCACCGACCCCTGACCCGGGCACGCGCGCTGCTGCTCGCGACAGATACGGATGATGCGCCGGGCGGCCGGCGACAACGGTATTGGCTTGTCTGATGGCTACATGCAACCAGTTTTCCTGTACACTCGATGTGGCATTTGTCGATGTCGGTGTGCGGGATAAATTTACTCGTACAGATGTTGCTGTCGTGGTTTTCAACTCTACGGCCGTGAGAAAGAGCCGAAAGCAACGCCGGAGAGGTCTAACTGCCTATCAGTGATGTTTGTTGATCGGCACTTGTCCGGTCTGTTTGCTGCCGAGTGCAGCTTCGTGGCGTGCTCCGTGTCAGACGACCAGGCAGTTTCATCATCTCGCATACGAGGCAGTGATGCGTCAGGGTCACCGCCATAGCTCGGCCGTTCGCCGCATCCCGGCGATTCAGGACCGGTCTCGGCATCACGGGTGTGCCACCCAAGAGCACTGTCCGTCATCCATCTCCTCTTGGCTGTTAAGAATGTTATACAATTAAGTGACGTGCACTTTTGTGATGACCATACTTGGGTGAGATTATATGGCACACAAGTCGTTACTGGCCTACGTCTGTAATATTGTAACTGCAGTACGCTGAGCACGTTCTACTGTCTATGAAAGGCAGTCCCTAGTCAAACTCAGACTAGTCGGCGTGTCCGCGTTCGATTCGCAACTGCAACCGTTTCGACAGTGGATGAGCGATTGGTTTGACTTGGGCACCTGGTTTCTGTGCTCCTCTGTCCAGGCCTAGCACGCGAAATCTGCAGCGGGACGTCTTCTCGCAGATTGGAACGTCATCGCCTTCTGACCGGCCAGACTCACATACCGCTGGGCTGGCGTCCACTGGTTAAGACCGGTCTCGGGGTTAGTTCACTCCGCGATACCCATTCGTGACGGCATATCACGGCGCTGGAGACGCCCGGCCCGGCGGCGACGGCGTCTCGATGCAAAACTGGCTCTCGACGTCCGTACGGCCTTGACACGGCGGGCTCACGGAATGTGGGCCGACCGAAACTGTCACCGGCGTGCAGGGCGCGCGTCCAGCTCGCGTGCGAACGGCTCGTTCTTTTTCCGGAGGCCGTTTCATTCGCTAACGACGACTGCGAGTGGTGGCCGTTTTTACGCGTGCTTTGCGCGTCGGGCCATTGTGCGGTGCCGGTCGCGACTGTGGAGCCCGTATCGCGTTAGCAGTCGGCCGGCGGCGATGACACAGAAATGTGACGCGCCTATTACTCAGCAGAGCGGTTGCGTGATGATCGTTAGCAGACCAGGCACTCAGCGCGGTGAGGGCGGCACGCGGTCTGCCTGAGAACGCACCGGCACCTGTGGCGGCGCCGCATGCATGTGCGCAATCATAGAGGCAGCGTGAAGCTCGTCATCGGATTTCAACTTAATTAAGCAGCTGCGAGCTTCTGCGCTTCTCAATAATATGAATAATTGCGTTTGATGCTCACTCGATTCAATCAACCTGACTAATCAGACATGTGGCGGCGGACTGAGTCAACCTTGCATGGTGTACCAGCATGTAGGTACTGGAGCCTACAGCACAGCGATTCAGCAGTCTCTCCAGTCGTCATTCAACAGGCTCTCCAGTCGACCGACCGGACATGCCGACTGTTGGCTGGTTGCTGACCGCAGACTGCAGATAGACCATCTCCAGACGGAGTGGACGCCACCGACCTGCCCCCACTCGGCCCAGCCTGGTCTCGGGCCGCCGGCGGCTGTCTCGCCGCTCTCACGTGCCGACAGCCCGCAGCGGGGGCACGGTTCGTCGGAAGGTCATCTCAGGCTCAAAAGAAACGGTAAATACCATTCGAAAGCTGACGGTGAGCTGAATCCAAAAATGTAATTTTTATCAAAATCGATCGATGGCCTTTTTTGAAAATTGCGTTTTTGTAAAAACTTTATAATTTTTTATTTAACGGGCTGTCTCGGGTATTCTTGAAAACATAAACACGTTTTTTTCGAGTTCCAGTGAAAGCTGAACGCCAAAAGAACAATATTTAGCGAAGCAATATTTCCTAACATTAATATGCGTCTCCCACAGCCGACAATAAGGCGCAATCACACAGCTCAGTGTCACGATGGACCAAAGTCGGCCACACAGAAGCGTGAGATGGCCCTTATCGACTCGCAGACCCGGCGCTCTCGGCCCGCCTGACCAGCCACGGAAAGAACGTTCGGCTCTCGTTCTACTAAATAAATGTCATATTTGTCAGTTTAACTGTCCACATCGCTATTAAAGTTATTCAGGATACCTGTGAGGAAAACTCATTGTTCTGCTTGATTTACAACATGCTTTAATTTACATTTTTCTTATACATGTTTTGTTCCATCCAGCTGCGCTCAGTGCCCGCGCAGGTGAAGTGAGCGGGGTTTCACTGTCAGAGGCTGTACTGGTGACAGCTGCTCGGCCGTGCGACCGGTCAAAGGTTACC